AGGTATTGGGGAATAGGTTTCATGAAATTTATATCATAAAATTAAAGGATTTTATCTCTGATTTTGTATTGCAATATTTGTTGATACCGATAATATACACTTACTCACACTCACTCAGATATATTGTTATAGTATGTATATTGCTTATATCATCAGCATTCTATATATATATATTACATTATTAAAATCCTAGACGATTTCCAGTAGATTTTTTTTATATTCATGCTTCTTTGTATTGCAAGAGACCTTTTCAAATGCGCTCCTTTCAAAGTACGCAGTCATTTGGTGCAGAAATTTTCGAGGGTTCTCTGATTCGTTTGAGAGAGAAGAATTACAGGGTAATTCTTGTGGATAAGTTTGCATTATGCGCCGTCGTTTCATGGACTATATATGTGCCTTTTGCTCTCTTATTTCACCAGGTGTTCGAAAACGTGAGACCGATTCCTTATAACTGATCTTATCGATTTGTGCAACGAAACTAATGTTATTGTTCTGTGCACAGTTATTCTTTGTCCATCAGCTTGCCATGTATAAGCTGATTTTTAAGGTTCCAAAACTTCCAGTGATATATTTTTCGGCTATGCATGCAGACTGAAAAGGAGTTGAATAGGCAAGGAAATGCATACAGGTTGAGTCAGTTTTTTGTAGCAGGACTTGAACAACTTTAAGAACACATATTTTCAAGATGATTCATGTGAACATAAATGCGTGTGTGGGAGCTTCGTTTCCAATATACTGGGAGTCATAGTTCGAAATTGTTTCAATGCTTTTCAAGTATTCTCCATAATTTTCGAAATAATGAATTGAAATTTGTTATAACTATCACACTTGAAAAACTCAGTATTTGGGACTATTAGCCAATTTTTATTAAATACAGGGTGATATACTTTTGCGAATTGTAACCATAATTAATTGTACTTGTACTTGTACTTTTTTGCTTGCTGCCTCTGCTTACAACGAGGCTTACAATGAAACATTAATTTAGATTCTCTGTTCTATTGGGAAACTTTTAGCTCTCGTAAATGTTCTTGAGAAAACTGTATGGATTTCTCAATAATTGACTAGAAGATCTGGAATGATCAGAAGCTTCCATGAAATGTGTTAATGAAAATCAATGGCAAAACTTGAAAACACAAAAAAATATATAAAAATATCACAGCCCTTGTATATCGGAAAAAGAGCTGTCATGCAAATATGTTTACATGAGCCTTTTATCTTAAAATAGTATTTTCTATAAGATGTTAAAGTCCTGCTACAAAAAACTGACTCACCCTGTATATTATATTACAGTTGACCAAATCATTGATTATGACAAGGATTATGATAATATATTGTCCCACGTGTTGTTGAATGAATCTAATCGAATGAGTATATAAAAAATGCAACGGATTTATTTCTCGTAAAAAAGATAACAATCTGACAACATTGAACATGAGTTTATTTTTGAGGCAGATTTTTTCCTCAGGCTGCGTTATGATGAAGTATTTTTTTTTTTTTTTTTTTTTTTTTTTCCTTTTATTAGTTCCAATATCTTACACTATATTTACAGACTGGACCTAAAGCTATGAACAATTATCTATACAGGCTAAGATATACAATGAGTATAAGATTAATTTATAATATTTAGATAAAACTTTGTATATATATAAGACTATATATGTGAGATACTATATCCTTTTATTATCTAGGATATTTGAAATTCAAAATACAAAAATATTTCGATGGAAGTTAGTATCTTCCTTTGATTTAACTTTATGCAGTCTGTCTCTCCTCATCATTTGCACAAAATCTTCCAACTTCAATTTCTTCTCTAAGTTGAAGAAAATTGTGCCAGCCAAATACCAAACCCACGAGTTGGTTTCTTTCACATTTACTTTCAATTCAAATAATTCAGGTAAACTCCGATTGACATCTACCTTGTATTTGACTAGCACTTTTGAAACTACCCAATTCCATACGTCTCTAGCTTTACCACATTCTCTAATTCTATGCATTAAGGTATCTTCCTGTTGACAGGATTGGCATAGCGAGTTGGCCAATATCTTGTGCCTTCTCATTTTCTCGGCAACCGGGTATATGTCATTTAGAGCTTTGAATATCGTTGCTCTCCAGCTGGTATCGATATATTTGTTGGAACAGTTTTTCCAAATAATTTTCCAATTCTGATTCCTGAATTTTTCTTCAACAGTGGGAATTACTTTCCTTGACTTTAAAATTTCTTCATAAATAACTTTGGTGCTTATTTGATCAAAATTCATGACAATTTTTCGCAGTTCGCATCCAATATTTTTCAAGCTGATGTGATTTAAATTATTATTTTTTAGTAAATCCATTAAGGGAGATTTGTAATATATTTTATCATTTGTATTGAGACAAGTTCCTATAAATAAAGCTGTTGCTTTTGCATCAATATCAATTAATTTTAGACCTCCTTTATCATAAGACAAATAAAGTTGTTGCCTCTTAACTCTATATAGTTGCCCACGCCATATGTATTTCCCAGATATCTGTACTATTTTCTGACTATGTTTTTTCTCAAGTGGCAATATATGTCCTAAGTACCATATCTTCGAAAATAAGTAAGTGTTAAGATACCAAACTTTTTTTATTAGATTTAGTTTTCTCATATTATCTGTTATGATTTTTATTTCGATGTTCCTGATGATTCTGGTCCAGTTTTGTTCTACCATTTCTTCATAATTGGCACACATAATCATGCCTAACGATTTGATCTGGTCACTATGAGTAAATGGCGCTATATTTCTATTCTCCCAGTTTCTAAGCGCTAACACTTTTGTTTTAACTTGATTTACTCTTGCGTTAGATCCATTTTCATAAATTGATATACCTACCAGTAAATTTTTTATGTCTTTCTCATTTTTGACGTATACGGACACATCATCCGCATATGCTGTTACTTTGAGTATCAAGCTATCCAACTGAATTCCTTCTATTGAGAACTTACAAATTCTTAAAAAGGGCTCTAACGCAAGGCTGTACAGAATCATCGAGAGAGGGCATCCTTGTCGGACTGAGCACCTTATTCCCACCGGGTTGGTCATGTTTCCGTTAATCATTATCCTAGAACTTGCATTCAGGTAACACAGTTCTATGGCTCGAACAACATTCGCTGGAATTTTAATTTTTGTCATGAGTCTCCATAGATAGTCATGCGATACTCTATCGAAAGCCTGTTGAAAATCCACACTAACAATAGCACCGGAAATATCATAGTGATCTGCCAGAAGAATTAGATCTCTATTAATGCACAGGTTATTTATTATTGAATTATTATGGCCAACTGCTTGTTCTTCCGCGACGATACCATCAACTGCTATCTTGAAACGGTTGGCGATAATTTTCATGAGAATTTTGTAATCAGTATTCAATAAGGATATTGGTCTGAATTGTTCTAATTGGTGCGGGTTCTTATCTTTAGGTAATAAAATGATAACACCTTCAGAGAATTCTTTTGGTGGGTCAATATTATCCACAAAAATTTTATTTAGAACTTCCAATAACATTTTTCCGATAATCTTGTAGTAGGATTTATAGAATTCATAGGTTAATCCATCAAGCCCGGGAGTTTTTTTCCTAGATGATTGCATTAATACTGCTTCTAGTTCACTCTGAGTTATTTTGCGCTTCAGTATTTCTTGATTCTCAACATTGAGTACTTTATCCATATGCGCTAAGAGACATCTCATTTCTCTTTCACATATTTTAGCACCTTTATATTTCTCACCAAAGTAATTCTCTGCAAGTTTCATCATATCATTTTTCTTGGTTAGTTTCTCGTGGCTACCGTTATACAGATATTCCATATTGTTTCTCGACGCACTGTTTTTCAACTTACAAATATCGTATAAAGCTATTCTTTCATTCTCCCCAGTATCATTTTTGTACTTGAATATCTCTTCAATTCTCTGTTCTTGTAAATAATAAATCGTATATTTAATTTCTTTTATGTGATTATATACATCCTCTCCATCGTTCTGTCGATTAGTTAACTCAACTAGTATGTTGTTATAAAAGTTTATCATGTTTTTATGTTCTATTGCTTTAGTAATTTCCACTGTTTTGAAAAAATTTTTGGTTTTTGGTTTGAAAATCCCGAACCACCATTTAATTACATCATCATTCCTCAACTTGTTTTGTTGGATATGGTTCAATAATTCTTGATATTCCCTGTCTATTGCCATGTCATTTAAAAGATAGTCTTTCAACTTCCAATATCCCCATCCGTGAGAATTTATTCTTTTGGAATCAGCCGTAATGCAAAAAATTAGAGAATGATGATCCGAAAAATGTACAGGTACAACTGTGCAACTATGTGCCAGTTCTTTAATATCCTCAGTTATATAAGCCCTATCAATCCTGGTAGCACAATTGGAACGTACATATGTAAACCCCTCTTTATTTCTATGAATGTATTCCCAAATATCTTTCAATTTGAAATTATTTATGAAACTGCTGAGAACTTTACACAGTCTTTTATCGTTTTTGCTGTCCTTCTTTTTTATGATACAATTGAAATCCCCTGCAAATATCATTGGATAATTTGGTTTGAGGTGTATAGGAACTTCATTCAAAATGAATTGTTCTCTTTCTTTATTATTCTGACTTCCAGAGGGACTATATATGTTAACAAAGTTCATGTTCTCAATGCAGGCAGAGGTAACTCTGCCACTTGGGTTTCTCATGATATTATTGGCAGTCAAGTTGTTTCTGTAAATAATTGCAGTCCCTCTATCTGCACTACCAGGATTCATTATATAGTTATAGTTTCTGAGTGTCAGGATATGTTCTGTATTTACTTCCTGCAAGAACAAGATATCTATATCATATTTGATGATGAACTCGTTCAACATTTTTTGTTTGATTTTATTTTTTAAACAGTTAACATTAACAGATGCAATCGTTCTTAGCGCTGTGAAGATAGTTGAGAAAAAAAATTAAATTCACAAAACAAATAAACTATCCTGGGGAAGTAATCTCTATTAATAAAATTCGTTCACACTATAATCTGGCAAAACTGACTCACCCCTACCACTTTTCTCTCTGTCCTTACTAACTTCGTTGTACTCGTATTCCATGAATGCATCTTTTTGTTTCAGGTTTATCTTCAGCTTTGGAACCTTCTTCTCTTCTTCACTGGTTGACTGCTCATTTTTCGTTAAATTTCTTTTTCTTTGTTTCTTCTCCTTCCTCGTAACTGGGGTATACTGCGGTTCTTCAATACGGTCGTGTGATTCAACATCCAAAACTGGCTCTATTGAATCTGGATTACTTCCTTCTTCTAATAACCTTTCCGGTTCATTAAGAATTTCGTCAGTCACTGTCTCCCTGTCTAAGTTCTCACTGTCATCTTCTGTACATGCAGTTATTTCATGTACTTCTTCTCTAACACTCGGGACTATTGGCGGTATGCTGTCAACAGTCAATTGCTGCTGATGTGTTTGCTCAGGCACTATATACGGAACATTTGGGCGTCTTATTTCATGTATTCTGTTCACTGGTCGTTTGGGACAGTCCCTTCTGATGTGTCCAGGGTCTTCACAGATCATGCATGTTCGGATCTGGTTAGGATATGATACCAAGGATGTGGTACCATCAATCCGAATAAATGATGGTATGTGTCTCTTCATGTTTATCTTCACTTGTCTGACTCCACTTTCTACTACATACATGCCTTCACCCCTCCATGACTCATTCCTTATTGAAGTCACTGTACCATATTTGGAAAGCTCGCATCTGATTTTCTCGTTTGGCATTTCGAATGGAAAATCATAAACACGAACCAATATCTCGTCCGTTGCTTCTGTAACCCCAACTTCGTGGATACCATCTTCGTCTTCGAAAAGGGCAGGACCCTGTTCAAACTTCGCCAATGTTGCTTGCAGTACAATATTCGACACCAGTTTCACATAGACTTGACTTTTCACGTGATCGAACTGAATACCTCGAACTTGGTCCACTGTGTAGTTTAGTTTTTCCTTAATCCACTTATGAAGTGCAAAGTTTGTTGGTTTCTTTCGCACTCTGCGAAAGTCTAATATTATTGTATTTTCCCTCGTATAAGTCATCACCAAATTGGAATTCGAACTTATATAATATCTTGCTGTTGATTCACGTCTGCTCTCGACTAGTGTCTGATTAAGACTGATCGTAATAAAAAAAGGGAAATAAACGACTTCATCAAACGGTAGACACAAGCGGTCACCCATTCAAGTACTAACCGCGCTCTTTGTTGCTTGACTTCGATGATTATACCATACTCACTTCTTCTGTTACTCTGTTTGTTCTATATAGTATTGAAGCCGATGCAAGTTGAAGGATGAGTCTCCGGTTTGAGTAAAGATTTAGAGTGACGCAGACTGTATACTGGTTATCAGACGTAATTTGAGCATCTTTTGTGCCAAACTTCTCTTGTAGGTAAGAATATAGCCTCCAACAAAGCCCTTCTCTGTGTAGACCCTTAGCACCTGAAAAATTGAGGAGTACTGGAGCAGTCGTCTATTACTCTCCGCAAATTGCTTTTTAATAATGTATTATTATTTCCCGTTGAATTCCCTAGGTAGTTGTGAAATGACGCAGAAGTCATCATTATCCTCGAATTTCAATTTTAAATTATTCATGGCGGTTTGAAAGCTTTTTCTGTTCACGATGAAATGTTAAATATAACGGCCCACCATTAACTACAATGTCGCATGTTTTATGCATCGCTTTCGTCCAGTGTACCTACATATATGACATATCTAATATTGTATGCATCAAAACCTTCCCAGCATGGAACGGAAAAGTTTTTCATGGCGCAATTTAGAATTCTACGATAGCACTCAACATACAATCGACTATTTCAACAAAATGAATGAAGAATGCTTTCCCAATTTACCACCTCATCTGTCGAGCGGTTTACACAAAATAAAAAAAAAATCATCAATGTACCAACCACTAATTTACTCGTTCCATCATCATGCCACTCAGTCGAAATTGGTCCACAGAAAACTACATCGACTACCTGTTTGAGTTATCAAAGTTCATTAACTCGAAATTGTATGCCTGGCAACTAACTCCTCCCACTTCGTTCCTAACAAACTCACAATTTAGTTTAGAAGGAAAAAAGACCGCCATTTTCGGCGTGCCCGAAAATTATTTGGTCCCAGACGAGCGCCTATCTGACTACTTGGACTAAATCATTTTTGGCTAACCTATACTTATAATCAGAATATGAACGTATTCTTGAACAGAGTCGGTCGAAATTAATAGACGTTCAGATGCGACCAATTTATTATAGTTTGTTAAAATTTTATATTCAATATTTAAGTATTTTGTGATATGTTTTAATCAGTTTGGTTTGCAATGAAGGAAGTAAGAAATCCTAAAATCTTCTCCACAATTCAATAATGTTGATTTAGATATGAAGGAACATGTTTTGGATCCAAAACGAGATCCAAAAGGACTCCATTTTCATCATCCTCCGCTGTATTATTAATATTTCTGTGTTTCTTGATTACACTATATAGACACCCTCTTTGATGAATCATCAAGTACAGCATCAAGTAATGTACGAATCAATATTCAATTCAAAATATTATTCCAATGTCTTGCTGAAAACTCATTAAAACTATTATTTATTCATTATAACGATGTAGGTATCGATTCAAATATTAATCATTATTTCATGACAAATTTCACCGGTTAATGAACATATACAGGATACAGGGTGTTTCTTGATATGAGGTGATAGGGCGTCTCACAAAAACGAGAGAAGTTCATATGAACATAAATGTCGTTATAGAGTTGATGACTTGACGTCACAGCTAGAATGAGTCTGGTCCTATCGAGTGTCAACATCAGTTGTTAATTTTTTTCTATTGAATTTTCAAATTTTCAGCGCCACCCATTTATTGAGCGATTATATCTAGCAATTCAACGAAACTTACCGCTATACCTATTTTCCTATCCTCCATATACATATAGATCGCGTCAACTCACAAGATATACCCTGTATACAATCGAATCCTTGTATTTTTTGTGAAGTGTTAGCACAGATCTGAATACAAATAATGAACTATGATGTTGTTAGTCTCGGGGTTAGTCATCTGCACCTCGATTTGTGCACGATACCATCGAATATCGACTAAGTTGATATTCGATGACGATACTTAATTTCGACTTCACTTTTAGATATGAAAATTCTCGCTTTTACGACGTAGGGATCATAATAAGAGTCATCATCTATCATTAATATGAGGACATCTCTTAAGTGGATGATATCGATGATACTTCAGTTTCTCCTCTATTAAGGGGTAGAAGACGAGGTAAATATTTGAAATTCCAGAACGGACTCCGTCCTTCTCACCAAATATATCCGCCTCGCTCGTTCGATAGGCGCATCTTATTACCGCGAAGAAGACATACGAGGGGATGTACAAGATTATTCGAAAGCGAAATAAAGTAAAGTGAAGGGTTTTTAGATGCTGTGAGATGAGTTGCCGTGAATTTTCAAAGCTGCTCTTCTGTATGATAGTTAGAAGAGTCATTTTGTAGCATGAATGCGAAACTGCTGTTTTTTTTTTCACGATGATTTCATCAAAATTCTCTTGATAAATTCACCATATTTCTCGACTTTCGAGTGAAATAGGAATTTCCACAAGGATACAAGGATTATATTGTTATTGAATATATTCATCAGTTTGCTGTATATTGACCGATATGGGGAAGATGCTATTAGAAACTATAGGACAAATTCGATATACAGGGCGATTCATGAAGAGACTCACATATATAGACAAATGGTGAATAAAGGAAAACAAAACAAGTTGAGATTCCATGTATGAAAGATTCTGTTGGCCTTCAATAACGAAGATATTATGTGAAATTGCCATATTATAATTTCAATGGCCGACATTTCGGATATCATTCATCCCAATTAGGCAGCGACGTTTCTTTATTCAAGATGACATATTATAAAAAAATCAGATCCGAAAAATTCATGTTCTCTTGTTATATAGAAAAAGCTCATTTTATGATCAGTTTTCTAGAAACATTTCATCAGATTCAGGAAGATCAGACATAATGTCATTAGAACTGCTCTTCAATTTGCACGACACACTTTTTAAAAAATATGAAACAAAAACGTTCGAATGAATTTTCAATTTGAACCTAGCTGATAACTCTTTCATTTCAACTGGATTCATGTGAATTCACGATAGGAATCGACTGATATAAGTAGTTAATAAGAAACCACAGAACTGCTTTTTTGGTGATTTGAAATGTTCGTTTTTGATCGACATCGTGACTTGTTTCTATTCACAAATATCAATGAAGTAATAATGAAATAGTATAGGTCGTGTTTTTCATCATTTGACGTGACGTGACATCTGTTGATAATCCGAAAAGATGAGTACGGGTGAAATTATGGCATGAAGATTTCACGAAAGTGTGCTGCACCACGACGAGTGGTATTTCAACACAATTGAGTTAACAATGAAAGACAGAATCATGAGAACATATTCAGAACGGAGTTGTTATTTGCTAGAGAGAGAGAATTTCTTATAAATGAGCGATTCGTATTCTGACGACAGATATAATTATTTTATGCCAAACTGACAGACTTTGCTCCGCTATCCATGGTTACATCTTCGAAAACACCAACGCTGATAGACCAATCAGAATTGAAAGACCGCTTGTGTTTTCGCGATTACACACGTTGTGATGTGATTGATCAGATTATGTAATAAATGAAATTAGTATATTGTTTAACGAGCACGGAAAGATAGTGATTTTCTACGAGAATAAAGTTTGCAGCATGAGCCGTATTGGCGAATGCTGCTATAATTTTTCTACGGCAATAATAGATAACAGCGACATTTTCGATTTCTTCGTCTTGTAGCCATTTGATTTCCTGTCAAGTTATGCTCATCTATTAGACAGCGATATCATTGCTTCACATTCGACATTCCATGAGCGATGAGATTTTTTTGAAATAATTACACGATGGAGTCATTGTGATATCAGATACGGAAATAATATTGATGATATACAAAGTATGATATAATGATACCTCATTGACGTATCGAACACAGTAAAACAAGGGCAATTGTGTGTTATAGCCGTAGAAAGGTTTTATCCCTATACATATTCTTTGGGTCTGTAAATCTTTTATAGTATTGAACATTGCAAACATTTGAACTTTTTCCATGTTCAGCATTTGAAAAATAAAGTGACATCTTGGGTGCAAGAATCACACGCCACATCATGAAATAAAAAATAGGGCACGACTACTAATATCTATCTAGAATTTCGATCAAGAACTAACATTTCAAATCATCAAATAAATCAGTGTTATAGTGGTACTGTGTGCTTTTTCTCGTTCGTTCTTTTCTGTCAATTTTTAACCAACAAAAATGTACAAAAAATCTATTTACATGAATCCAGTTGGAAGTACTGTTTACTTCATCAGTCAGGTCGAAATTGAAAATTCATTCGAACGTTTTTGTTTCATATTTCTTCATTGAACCGGTCAAAGTGTCGTGCCCTGAAAATGAAGAGCAGTCAGATCTTTCTGATTCTGATAAAAATTCTCGCGAACAGTGATCACAAAGTGAACTCTTTAGAAATCAGGAAAACATGAATTTTTCCTATATCCGGATCTGGATTATTTCCATAAGGTGCCATCTTGAATTGTTTCGCTAGAGAAACGTAGCTGCAAAATTTCAGCAAATTACGATGAGTCATTTCTGAAATGACAATTTCACATCGTAGTAGATGGATTTTTTTTTCATATACAGCGTCCCACACTTGGAAAAACGCTTTTCTCTTTCTATATTTTAGTTATTAGTCGTGCGATTTTCACCAAATTTCGGCTGGTATTCTGTATCTGGGGTTCTATTAAAATAAAACGAAGTCGATTTTTCATAAAAAGGCATCTTTCAACAGGAAAACGAACCTCATAATATTGTTCTTCATCGT